GGCTTCAAAGCTGTGGTTTTCAAGCTAAATTCAAGGTGGCCTGAGACCAGGGTTTGCTGCCCTAAAACACTCTGTCCAGGCCACCTTGAAAATAAAGGTGTAGTTGGCACCTTGCTAGGTATAGACACCTAGGGTAGCTATGTAGCTGTGGTTTTCAAGCTAAATTCAAGGTGGCCTGAGACCACGGTTTGCTGCCTTGAAACACTCTGTTCAGGCCACCTTGAAAATAAAGGTGTAGTTGGCACCTTGCTTGCAGCTACCAGGTATAGTACTTCAAATTCCCTTTCCGTCAACCGCTCGATAGCCTCTACACACGCGCAGCAATCCACAGCTTTGAAGTCTCATTCGTGCTTTGAACTTGTGTAGGTGTGTAAGAGGTATAGTAACATAGTATTTATACGGACCCAGGCTAGCTTCAGAGCAACATGCAAACGACTATAGGATTAAAACTAAACTAAATAAGCCACCTGCCTGACCTTAGTTTTGGGCACGTTCAAGGGCTGGATTCAATCTTGTGGGCATGCTTCTGCTTGCACCAGAGTGGTCGACTGTGGACACCTGAAGGGGACTCAGGTGAGGATTTGGAAGGTCAGTCAAGGGTCCATATGCAATATGTTTCCATAATCCAACCCTTAGGGTTTATAGGCGGTATGTCTAGGTGCACACTCCCCGAAATAAGCATAGAAGTGGATGGCATAGCCCCAACAGGTGGTTTTCCACTTCTATGATTAGTTCAATCGGTGTACACAATGTACCCCTTGGACTTTTTGGTATCTCCATTGTTCACTGGCCATTTCTGAAGGTCTATCACACTTGTGGGTGCAATGATGAACCGGTGATGTCAATTATCGAGCACCCAGCAATAGTTGATGAAAACCAGACCATAGGTAGGGTCATGCTCAACCTTAGTGAATCAGATCCAGTGTCAACCTGTAAAGCAAGTCCCGTTCATGTGGCCACGCTGCACTTCCCACAGTGAGACCTCCCATTCCATGTCCAACCGGACATTTTTGAAACTAATTCAAACCAAAATTGTAGTTCCTGTAACTCTTGACCTTTGCTCCAAGCATGTTACATTTGACGTTCAGTCCATTTCAGCTCAGTGTTTCAGAGGTGTTTCTTTTTTGGATTAAGGAATCAAGCAATGGACAATGAGTAAAGCAAGCTGGGGTGCTCTTGATGTGCAACACAGTGGATGCAGTGTACCATCCGCACTTGGCAAAGCACAAAAAACAACTGCACAGACAGTGGAAATAACATCGGATTCCATCCAAACCCCCCCCTGTGCAGAGGAAATTTCCGGGCAAAATGACACCGAATCCCTCAATTGCCAGGAAGCGCAGGTTTTTGTTTTAACATGGTTACCTCTGTGTGGGCAGAACAAGACATGAATGAGATTTGACACGCGGCCGCAAGCAGTTGCGCGAGCTCATTTGCTTGCTTCGACGCGCAGTTGTCGAGAAAGGGAAGCGCTGGCTTCGTTTTGCAGCTTCTCAGGTTGTTTTCTCCCCCCAAAAAGTCTCAATCGGGTTTTGACACTACGCCCTTTGAAACGTGCTACTCGTGGCCTCCAACGGTCAGCTTCCATATAGAAGCCCATAATTTTTGACCCTCGGCCTAGTCTTTGCTTTAATTGAGTCCATGCGACGATATCCGAAGTCTTATTTGTTTCATACTCTGGTGGAAGTCTCACAAGCAAACATATTCACAATGGGTGGGGAAAGGGAAGATCCTTGGTTTGGAATTTCAAAACATGCAACAAATACAAGTATACGAGTTGAATAAGAGATGTTGTGTAAAACTCCCGTTCCCTTTAAGAATAAACTTAGCTTCATTATCAAGAAAGGTGTGGGCATTTTCATTGTTTTGGGGGCCCCTTGAACAACAGAGCAGGAGGCCCCATGAAGCGGGGATGAGAAACCAAAAACATTGAACAACAAAAAGTCCACTCCACCGAAGACGCCCGTCCTTAACCCACGAAGACGCCCGTCCGAAGAGGCCGTGTTGAAGCCAAGTGATCTAAGCCATCGCCTCATGCGAGCGGTCCTCGATTCAGGAGAATTGGAATTCTATCGTGTGTGTGTGTGTGTTCAATTCCGCACCGGGCCTCACCCCACTCAGTAGGGTCCGATTGGTGAGACAGTGAGACATCTCCATTTGTTGGCTGTAGCAAAATGTGACATCTCCAATGGCCGGGTTTGAGGGTTTTGATGCAAAGACTATCAAATAATATCAAATACAGTATATTCGAATACCAATTGTTTTTCTTTGTTTTTCCTAATCTCAATGTGTTGAACATCTTCATAGTTCTTGATGAACACATTCAACATTCGAGAAGGACTGATACTTGTTTTGTTTGGGCAACTGTGTAAGGTCAAAACATATCATTATCATCACGTATGATTGCCGTGCAGTTTGCCTTGCTTCAGATGGCGACATGATTGATTCCTTGGGCTGCCCCGGCCAGAGAGAAAAGTTGTGTTTTGGTCACTGCCAGATGACACATGTTTACGTCAAGTGTGAATCTTTGTGTTGATAAGAGGTCTCCCAGTCGTGGTTTTGACATGACCATCGTCCTTCTTGGGGGTGGTCCTTGGGGACCCTCTTCAGGCCTCCAAATCCATTGCCATTTCAGACTGTCTTTCAGACCGTCAGGATTTCACCTGGGCGAGCTTTTACCTGCCCTCGACCGCCTGACCCTCTTCCGCTCCTTGCCTGCTCAGCGCTTGGAATGGCACCTGGAGAGGCGCCTTTGGCACGCGTGGCTTGGCGCGGCTGGTCACCATCGGTCGGTGGGGAGGCCCTTTGCCCGTTCCCTGAAGAGGTGGCAAACGACCCGGAGAGTTGGTTCCAACACTAAGGGCATCCCTGGACTGCAATTTGTTGTCAAGCACAATTGGACGGTATGCGGTTTATTCCAACTAGGTTGGAGGCCATCTCTACTAGGGTGGAGGCCATCTCTACTAGGGTGGAGGCCATCGCTAGTAGGGACTCCTTTGCCGCTAAGTCCATGATGGGTCAACTCTTTGTGTATAAAGGCACATTTAAGTGCACATGTACATGCCCCTATGAGCGATGGCCATCGTCAAGCGTGAACATCGACGGAGAATTTGTTCAACAAACGTACATCATGATCTTCATTGGTTATTCTGTTGCTGCCCTCCGAACAAGGCCTCTTGCCTTCATTGATGCATGTTCTGGATCTTAGTCCACCTGATTCACTTTAATACTCTACAGCTCTCTCTACAGTACTAGTAGGTGGTTTGGGGTGTGTGGGTGCCACTAGTCCCGCCGGTATCATGTATGTTCCTTTTTCCGGGCGACCGCAGATGACCCCTCAAGCCATGCAATCCTCCTACGTTCGCCCCAGCCTTAGGCTGAAAAGAGGCACATCCCAAGATTCTTGGCTTTGAATGTAGTGTCTGTAGTCTGTAGTGTCCCTTTTCAAACCGGCTCCTATCCTGAGTCCGGAGATGTCCGGAGCTATAATATGTATAGTATTTGTATATTGAGTTACTGTATTTATGTTGGCCCTTGGAGGATTGATGTGATTTGATGTACAGCACAGAACCAAACGTGGAGAGTCCAGGTAGTCTGAAGCCTTGTTTTGATAGATCACAAAGATTCACAAAGCGTACATAACAGGCCAGCGTTTTTAGACACATTTCGCAGCCTGCAGTTTGCACTGTAGTTCCTTCTTGGCTTGTTTTGCAAGGAGGAGTGGCATAGCTTGGAGCCGCACTGCACAAGGAGTTACTAGTTACTAGGAAAACATGTTGTGGGACCTTGGAACAGAATCAGAACACAAATTACTGTCCCAAGCAGCTGACCAACCAATTTGTGTTTTCAAATATCGATCCGTGTTGATAAATATTGGAGACCATGCAAGCAAGTGCATTACACATGCAGCATGTAAAAGCAGGCGGCCCAGTGACAGCCCAGTGTAAGAAGCGCATGAAGACCCAAGAGCTGAACGAATCCATCTTCAAGATGCACTCTTGTTTTACGACTCTGCCAAGAGACCTGACCACAAGGTCACTCCCCAAGAGATCTGGGACGCCATCCCAAGAGCGTCCCGGCGTTGTTCGCGTGCTTGTGGTGGCACGTGCGACCTACGCTCAGCCACCATCAAATCGACGATATTCCTATCGCTAGCCGGTACAAGGTTGACCGGAGGATCTTCTACTAGCGGATCAGCAGTAGGTTGGAGGCCATCGCTAGTAGTGTAAGAAAACTAGTGGGGCGGATCATGTAGCTGACGGCCGAGGACTTGCAATGCTTGGGCCCCTTGGCGAGGTGCGGAAACTCGTTTCAGGTCGGTCGAAACTGGGTTTGCGCGGAGACATGGGCCAGCAAGGGCTATTCCATGGAATTATGCAATATCTCAATATTCAATAGATTTCAATACATGTTTATATAATACTGGCAACTGGCAATTTCGGATTATATTCTTTTTGTGTATGTGTTGTGTTGTGAAGTGCTTGCAGCAGTTCAACTTGTGGTTCCTTTCTACACGTTTGCGATCATCATGACTTCAAGACAGTTTCGGTAAACTATAGGCTACTTCATCTACTTCTCATGATGGCTTCTCACAAGAGGTGGGTTGCCACGGACATACACCACTCATTCACCTTATATTATATACATTACAGACTGCAGTTTCAGCCATGAATCAAATAGCCACAATCTCCACCGTCTCAGGCAGTTGGTGCCAGCGCATGCCACAAGCAAGCCACGAACACCGAGACAAAAGAACAAGTGCTGCGATGCAGCATATTTTCTTCAGCCTTAGTTTGTTGGTCTGGCAAACCACCGAGTCTGTTTCAATCATAATTTGCTTGGCATAGTTTGTTTGTTAATGTTAACTTATATTAGTTTATTTATGTTTCTTTAATTTTCTTTATATGTTATTTTTTAGTTTTTTTGATTCATTGTTCGTGGATTTGTGGCTATCCGGCTCAATGTTCTTTCATCACAAGCAACTTCCAGAACGCTTCCAGCCATTTGACAATCAATCAATATGAGTAGGGTTCCAACTTATAACTGTCATCAATCATCCCTTTGTGTGCTGGGATTGACTCAATTGCTGATATAAACTGCTGAGCTCCTTTGATCAGCCACTCAAAAAAAAAAAACTCCAGATTCCAGGGACTGCTTTTGTTCAATGTCGTGCGCAAAACCACTTCCATGAAACAGCGATCGTAGTGACCATCTTGGACTCTTGGCCCTTGGACCCTTCGGATGTTATCTTTAGCATGCATGGCTTGGCGCATGGCTTGGTGCAACAAGGTTCGCTACGTTCGGGGCTCCTGGCATCGCTACTAGGAAACAAGAAGCTGCGAACGGGGCTCCTGGCCATACTGCTAGGAACCAGGATGCTACTAGGTGCATGGCTTGGCGCCATGATAGATTGGCCTCTCAGCCCACACGAGCGACGCAGAAAACTCACCTCTCACAGCAGACCCGCCTGTCCGGCGACCCCCGGCGAAGACGCTGGAAAGCCATGCCATGGCCACGGTGCCTTACCAGGTGGGTTGTGGGTGCCTGCCGAATCTGTGGGATCTAATAGCTTCTTGTTACTAATAGAAAAAGTGTTTTGTGATGGTTGCGTTCCCAGATTTTGTTGATTCCATAAAACGGCAATTCTTTGCTACTGTGCAATGAAGCAGTCTTGAACTAGTTACTAGTCCCCCCCAAAGGGATTTCGTGTAGGAGCGGAAGTCGTGCACAGTCCCTGGTTCGTGGTGTGTCTCCTTTTTCAAAAAGCCTGGGTTGTACCCAGATGTTTTGGCAGCAGTTTTGCTCAATTTTGCTCATATAGTTTCAACATGTTTCATAGTGACATAGTGTTTCACATTGTACTACTACCACAAACGCAAGGTGGTCATTCTTCCTTCTGGTTGAACCCGGGAAATCTACTTGTAATCAAGTGGCTTTGGGCTGTCCATAGAGGCTGCGTTCTCGAAAACCGGGTGCACGGAGTTGCGGGACGGACGCAGACGGAGCTGCTGCAGCTGCTGCGGCACCGCGAGTCGGAGTTGGCCAAGCTTCGAGAGGAGCGACAGCACAAGGCACGACGGGCACGACGTCCTCCCGTCGGATGACGTCGGGTGGGAGTCGTGAAGATGGGTGAATGAAGGTGACTGGTGAGTCTGATGATTTGAAGCTGGTTAGTTAGTTGGCTGCTGACCTGTGAAGCACGGTTGCTGATAGCACGAAGTGTTGTTGCTTATGGCAGCAGACCTGCATGCTCAGCTTCCAGGACACAACGATCGACTTCCTCAAGACCAAGATTGCCTCTTGACCTATCAATGGGCCACGGCCATTGCTAACGAGCAGATCTCAAACTTGGGCCAAGCTGACTTCAACATGGACCAACAAGGCGAACATTGCCCAGAAATACTGTAAGGTGTTCATAACGGGTTCAATGAATCAATCCGACGCACCATTCTGATAATCTGATATTGTCCCCGTGCGGGGGCAGTGTGCATTTCGTCGCGGAGCGACATGAATATGATCGAATATGTAATAAGTTATGAAGTTGCAAAAGTGAGAAGGTTTGAGACCGAAAGTAGAGTCGCAAACACCCTCGGCGAGACCTCAGCCGCGCCCCCAAAAGCGGCCCGGCGACCCTGGCGCACACCCAGGTCACCCTGCAGAACCAGAACCGAGCCGCCCTTAGTGAGCGCCCCTCCGAGGCGGAGGTGTGGACCCATGGTGTCGGTGTTGCATGGTTTTCTCAGAGCGCGCAGCGATGCACAGAAGCAGGAGAATGATGGGAGAACATGCAATGTTTTTTTGCATTCTACTCCACATAGCAGAAACTGCCAGAGGAATTTGAATGAGACTGTTGATCAATGGAGCAAACCTGCATAGGCCCTCAGTGATTCGGTGATCAACCTTTTGCAAGACTAAATCTTGGTCACCCTCTCAGAAAGATAGCCTTGCTTGAGTTTTGTGTGCGAGCATGCATAGATGAATTATCTCTTCTGGCATTCCGGGGCTGCTCCCCTGCCTGGAGCAACGAACTGCAGGTGCTACAGGAGCGACTGGAGGCTGCCTTGGCCTCCAAGGAGCAAGCGCTCAGGCGCCAAGAGGAGTGAGTCACTGATGCTTCTGTGAGAATGGGATGGGATGCTCTGCAGCAGAAGAGAAATCCAGCCTAGGAAGGTGGACGAAGGCCAGAAGGTCCCGAAAAACATATTAGCAATGGTGAGCAGACCTTGTTACCTGGGGGGGTTCCATGGTCTTTCTCTCCCAGAAGATCCATGAGAACATATTACCTAATTTACGTATATGAAATCCGATTCGCAATATGCACGACATATCGGATGGATCTCGTAGATAAATATCACATCATATAATAATCCGATATGTCGTGGTAATAGATAATAGCACATCATTTTGGATCACATGTTGAATGCTACCTCGTTCATCTCCGAACATCGCATGGACACCTTCATCACGGCCACCCTCGGAGACAACGGCGTTGGCTCGGGACACCGCGTCCGTGGACACCGGTTGCGACGCATCGGACCGCAGGAGCTCGCTGTGCAGCTCCAGCACTGGACTTTGGAGGTGGATGACTTGCGACAAGAGCTTAAGCAGGCACCGTTTTTTCGGGGAAGAGCTGGTGGTGAGGGCCGGGATGGTGGTTGACACCTGTGGAGGCACCAGTTGAGTGAACAGATCAACGCCGGAGGAGGCACGCCCACGGCACTGGATGGGCATTATGGGTCGATTGAAGCACAGTGGTTTTGAAGCGATTACTTATTTGGAATTGGAATCGCGGTCATCACAGTGAAGCACGGATTTGTTGAAGAAAATGTGTACAATGGTAACAACATGTAACACCAATCCCCTTGATCAAGCAGTGACACGGGGAACCTTTTGAGCCTCTTTGGATATGCAGGGTTTGCAAACACGAGGGAGGACAGATTCCAGTTGATCCAGTTTGCTCGTAGGGGGGCAATCCATGGCCCCATTTGTACAACCTGGCGTTTCACTTGTAATATGTTCTGGTGTCACAACTCAGAGACAAGTTTCATCAACTCGTTTGTCATTGCTTCGCAACAAAACTCATAGACACACGCGTGGATGCAACCAACATGCTTAACGTGTTTAAACTGTTTTAACACCAGGTTCCTCAAACAATGCTTGCAAGAATGCAGCCTGGTGGTTCCATTTTGGTTCACAATGCTTCCTTTTGTCGACTCCGGAGGCCAGGGCAGAGATTGCGCGCTTGGAGGCCGAACTTGAGAAGCTCGGCGAGACACGTGGAGACTGCTGATGCAGCTTAACGCCGCGAGCAGCGTTGAGCATTGAGGCCACTTAGGCGTTGAAACCGTTCAGTGAACCGTTTGGAGACTGGTCCTCACGGCCTCACGTCACCAGAACAGCATAGGACAGGCAT